TACTTTCAGGTAATACCACTTTATACCACAAGATGGTGCAGTGAGTAAGCGTAAGCTTTGAGTCCTGTGAAAAAGGCCATGAGGACGGGCCTGAAAGGAAGTACTGAGTGTGTCGGCACGCTGCCCCCTGGTGGTGAAGGATAATTACAAAAACGATTTTTAATCATGTTTCTTGTTTCCAGGAGAAAAAAAGATTTTTTTTTTATTTTACTTAAACAGATTTTTTTTTACTTAAACAGATTTTTTTTACTTAAGTTTTTACTTGAACATGTTGACCCTCTGCAGTGTCTGGGAGCAGGAATCTGACACCTGCGTCTTCAGTTACCTGTGTCAGACAGCGGCGGGTACGACACTCTGGCATCAGCAGAGCTGAGGACACGTCAACTCTTTATTTATCACCTTTTTCCTCCTTTTTAAAAACTATGAAGTCGTGCATTTCAAACTCAAACACAGGCCGTGGAACCCAGTGTGCACTCAGGTGTGTGTGCTCAGGTGTGTGTGCTCAGGTGTGTGCACTCAGGTGTGTGTGCTCAGGTGTGTGCGCTCAGGTGTGTGCACTCAGGTGTGTGTGCTCAGGTGTGCGCTCAGGTGTGTTTATAATCTACCTCCAATAAAATTGTGATGACTCTAAGGCTGAGGTCCTTTGTTACTGAGGTGCTCGTTGATGATGAACTGTGTTCTTCTGCAATGAAGCTGTAACCAGGTGCTTTCCTTTAATTCTGCCTCAATCCTTAATTCTACTGTTGTTGATGTAAATCAGTGAAACTATGAGTGCGACCGTGACACACGTCACTGTATGTTCTTAATATTTCACACAGGATCTGTGGATGTTGACTAGATTTGTATTAGTTTGGTTTGCAGTTTTTCTATCAGAGAGTTCGTGTCTGTGTGAAGACCTCAGCTCGTCTCTGACTTCAGTCTCAGGGATTTGAGGCGAGCGAGGAAAACCAGACCGAGCCGACGTGACAAACTGTTCAAATGTTGCTCGAGCGTTTAAATCACAGTGAAACATCATCACCTGCGTTTTTTTCTTCGTTTGATTAATGAAATGTTAAAGTAACTTTATTTAAAATTGTTAATTTTCAATGAAAGAACATAAATCAAATCTCACTCTGAAGAAGCGTCTGTGTCTTTGTCAGCAGTGCAGCTTACAGCCTGTAGGTGGCGCTCACAGAGCAGCTGTGCTCATTTCTGTCTCATTTGTCAAAGTCCTCGACTCCAGCATCTTAGTCCCTCCCACCTGTGAAACGAGGGCGGGTGAGGCAGCAGCGTCCTTGCCTCAGAGGCTGGTGATGTAATCAGCAGCGTTATCAATAACTTGGTTTGCTGCGTTTTATGTTCTCAGGTATAACAGAGCTGTTGTGTTTATTTCCACGTTCATGAAACTCCCAGAATGCTTCAGTGCCGGTGTCCCAATTTAGCAACCGCACGCTTCGGAGTACGCGCACAACAACTGATGTTGTTCATGAGACTAAAATCATCTCACTGTGGTAATGTAAATATAATATGGACAATATTATATTTATTGTCAGATTATTATGAGTAGGGATGGGTAC